CATGTGGTACGTGTCGCGCGGCGACTGCGCGGGCGCGAAGAGCGAGAACGCGTTCGGGGATGAGGGGCCGGAGCAGGTAAAGGTGTAGGAGGGTGCAAAGGTCGTGTGAGACATTGCGGCCGAGGATGCTCGAGGGAGGGATACAAGTGTGTGAGGTGCTGAGACTCGAGAATGCGAGTGGTGGTGAGGACTCTGGATGTCGAGCAGATGCTAGCAGACCTGGCTGGCGATGGCGAGTTCACGTCGGTAAGGCTCTTGTTATATACTAACGACGCTAAGACAGATTGCATGGCGGGATTGCAGAGGGAACGAGCAGATTGCCAATCGAGCGTGCGTAGCAGTCCTCGCGTACAGAGTTACCTTTCGAGGGAACTGTTTGGACTGTGACAAACACGACTCGACACGAGAAATTAGAGACCGCTTCGTTGCGTGGATACGCGACGACTACGAGCGCACACGAGGGTGGTAGAAGACTGTATAAGGAGGAGTTTGCGGGGACAATGCAGTTCGGGACGAAGAGATGTGGGCCCGTATTTGGCGAGCTCTGCGAACCAAACACATGCAGCAGCGCTTGCGTCGGTCACCTGACCGCGTTGAAGGGACGCGTCACGCGCGTCTGCCGCGGTCGCCTCCCTGAGTCTGTGCATCCATCACCCATGCAGCCATATCCAATACAGATTATAAGGTAGCATTACCATCAGGAGTGTCTGTACGAGTCGAAAATATACATGTTCTGTGTCCTTGTCGTGACATTGATGAACCAGTGAAACTGAGATGCCGAACATGGAGTGCCAAATCAGACTCTCGAATGGACACGTCTCTCGTTTACCGTAGACGAGGGTCAAGCTAAACACTACCAGCCCGCACTACTATGAAAATCAATAGGTCACAGAATTCAACGAGCAATGCTGCGCGTTGGCTACAACATCGACGCACCGATTACTGGTACTCGATGGTGAAGCCCTCGGTGAACGGGATTGCAAGGGAAACGTCAAGGACGCCCCTCTCAGAGTCAAACGCAATCTTGCCCTCCTCAACTGCGTTCCCGTTGAGCTTCACGTTCTGCGGCTTGCTCTGCACGTCGGCGAAGCGCACGCGCGCCACGTTGACGTCCGTCGGATGGCCGAACGAGCCCTCGACGGTGAGCTTCTTGTCCTGGTAAGTGAAAGAAACAGTCGTCGTCGACGCAGGTTCGAGCGAGATGCCGTCATCGAGGTACAATGTGCCGGAGGCGGTCCCGTCGAGAGCGGGAGCAACGACAAGCTCGAAGTCGGTCTTGCGCAGCTCCGTCGTCGTCATTGCGCCCTTCTCACGCAGGGGGAGCACTGCGCCGCCCTTGATGGAGAGCGGGATGGAGGTGAAGTTAACGTCGTTGAGGTCGACGGTCGCGCCACCCTGGTAGTACGTGCGCGAGAGGTCGAAGAAGTCGTAGAAGGCCTCTTCGGGGTAGTACACGCGCACGCTCGTCACATTCTCCTCGACGACGGGCGAAACGAGGATGGAGTCTCCGAAGAAGAACTGGGTATCGATCCCGAAGGTGTTCGCGTCCTTCGGGAACTTATACCAGAGAGGGTTCAGTACTGGTGTGCCGTCCGCGTGCGCCTGGTGAAATGCGGTATAGATGTAGTCGATGAGGCGGTATCGGATGTCGAGCGCGTTGCGTGCAGCCTGAGCGACTGTGGGCCAGCGGTAGAACTCTTGACTGATGGACGTGTCCCCGTTATGCTATTCGCCAGCAGTCAACTTCTGCGAGTTCTGGAGAGCCAGAATGAGATCGGGCTTACATTCCGCATGAAGGGATAAAACGCGCCAGCGAGTGCCCAGCGCGCGCAAAGTGTCTCAGTGGTGTTGTCCCCTACAGTGCCGGTCAATCAGTGTGGGCGTTCTCCGCTAGTATGCGTCGCTCACGTACCGAAACCGCAGATATCCGCGCCCACCATAGGCACTTGGTACACACTCGCCATACCGAGGATGCCAGAGAGCGACTCGCGGAGCTGGTACCATTGACTGAGGTTGTCTCCGAGCCACTTTCCCACATGCGCCCCGGCGCCAGCGAACGTCGAGCGGGTGATGATGAGCGTGCGCTGTCCAGGACGGCGGGCAAGCATGGCCTCGCGTGTTGCGGTCGACATCATAGTGCCGTAGATGTTATGGGTGTCGTACTCAATCAGTCCGTTCGCGTGGATAGCATCCGTCTGGGAAGCGCGTCAGAATCGGGCGCTAAATGGCCCTTGACTACAAACCACTCACGTAGGCCGTCTTGTCGGAGAGAGCACCCGTGCCTGCAGCGTTCGCAATCGCATAGGGGGGGTTTTGGACATCATCGTGGCTGTGGTCAACGCGTTTGCGGTTCCTACTCTGCGCGTTGCCGAATATGGGGGTGTCATGATCGGGGGGTAACGTTGCGCGAGCAGGAGGCAGGTCCTGTTCCTCGGCCTGAGCGAAGGGATCTGTGCAGGGATAGTTGCAGAACTAACGCCGGATGAGTATGCGGGCAGCCATCATCTATTGAGGCACATACGCTCGCAGGTTCGTTCATGTCAATCCAGACGCCGTCGATGTCCAGGCCTGTGTCGGGATCATAGAACAACTTGATCTCGTTTGTCCAATACCTACCACGCACCACGGGTGAGTCGAAGTGTGAGAGGCATCATCTGTCTGCTACTTACTCCTGCGTCTTCTCATTGAACCAATCGGGGAACACGGTTACACCTACACGATCTCAGCTTTTTCACTCGAACCGATTCCAGATGTGAACAAACGTACCAGGCCAGACGAGTCCAAGGAACGGACTGCTGCCGTTCGCGGCCTTCATCCAGATGTCAGCATCCGTACCACGCTCGTACGCTCCATAATCCTCTCCGGAGACGTAGGCGACGGCCGGGTCCGTCATCACGACTATGTGGAGCGTCAACTGTAGAACAGGAAAATCCATCCCTCCAGTGTACTCACTATAGCGCTGGTCGTGAGCATGCAGGTAGTCAACGATTTCGCGCATCCTGTCGAGGGGGAAATAGTACGGGTCCAAGGTGAAGACGCGGCGCTTGTACATGTAGTCTGCACAGAAGACCTGAGTGTTAGCGTGGTCCAGAGGGATGTGGGGAGAGCGCGTGCCAATATCCGTCCACATCGTCTCGAGGGGGATCTGTGCAGCGGAGTAGTTGGAGATGACACCGGCGACATCCACGAAGTCTGTACAGGATAAGTCAGACCACGATGTACGCCCGTCCATCCTCGTGAACCTACCGTGATATCCGAAGCGGCATTGGTGCAAACCGAACGACCAGTACGGCACCTCTGCTGGTGCGCCGACGACCTTTGCGTACTGCCGCGCCAACTCCACGGGGTCCGACTCGCTGCCAGCAAGGAAGTAGAAGTCAAGAACACCACCGATGACATTATATTCGAGCGTCATGCCCGTGCTCTCCGTGTCGTTTATCTTGACGTCCATTCCGTTCGAGTTCAGTAGGAACACGCCGTGCGTGCCGGTGTTCCTGTGCTCGAAGTAGACCGGGTGGTTGCCGTACAAGTTGGTGTTGTTGGGAACACCGTACGCGTCGCGCGACCAGAATGTGCGCGTGTAGTTGTGTGTTGGCAGACGGAAGCTATCGGTGTGCTCGCCTAGGCCGTAGAGATTCGCATCTGGTGGGAGGTTGGTCTTGACACGCAGGTATTGTGGCTCGAAGATGAGCGTGTGCGACGCCGTCGAGAAGAGAATCTCTTCCGTCGAAGTGCGGTAAATGGAGAACGAGAACGGCGACTCGGTGTAGTTGAACTTAATTGTAGCGCTATCGGGCGAGACGGAGTCGTCCGCTTGTGGGCGAGGCAAGACGGTTTCGGGGACCTCGAAACGCGCGTTCGACGGGTCGGTGATTTTGAGATGGATCCGATCCTCTGCAGACAATTTTAGAATGTTCTCTATGCCAGTGAAGAGTTCAGAGAGGTCATGACTTACTTGTTTCATACGTGAGCTCGAGCTTCAACTGCTCGATGTCCTCGCCGAAGACATTGCACGCCTTACCTGCGAGGACGAGGTCCGCAGTGAAGTTTGCCCCGGATGAGGAGACGTTCTGTACATTGTAGCCTGGGCATGCGTCGAGGATAGTGGGGTCCGTGACCGTCGCGCTGGCAAAATGTACGAGCTTCACGAGGGCGGTGAAGCCCAGCCCAGCGCGAAGGTACATGGCTACGAAGGTACACGGGAGTACGAGGGCTTGTGAACAACGACGGCAGGGTATTTAAGGCATCCTGGTGGCTGGTCTGCCCTGATGTCCTTGGCGTCGGGCGTCGGGGCGCGTGTGTAGACGTACACTCGCTTCCCTGCGACGCGCCGAGCCCAACCGCGCTGGGCTCACTTGACCGTTCGGGATGCTCATGTGATGCTGGTGAGCGCGTGGACCCTGTGATGGCGGTTACTGCATCGCAGAGAATATGACGATGACAGCACGAGACGCCTAGACGAGTCATATTATATCTATCGCGGGGATTCATGAGTGTTTACCCTGAGCTAGGAAAGAAATCCTTCAGCCGAGCACTCTGAAACCGTACCTCAGCCAGCTGGATTAATGGAATTCACTGTACATGTCCCGGAAGGCCGGGACCTCCTTGACGCTGCTCAAATACCAGTGTCGGATACCTGGCATGTCCATGGTATGATTCATAATCCGAGCCAAATCGCGGCCCGAACGTCTGCTTGCTCGCGTGACCATCTACCTCGAAGGAGGTGTGAGCCAGATGATATAGGGTTCACCGTATCTGCAACCAATTCGGGAACAGGAGTAAAGCCGTCAACCTTTGTCACGCAAATCTTCCCACTCCCCTCTTGAGGGACGAGCATCGCAATTCACAGAGAACCCCGTACCAGGGCGCATCGCGGATGACAAGCAAGACCTGGCCGAACAGGACAGAGTTTACTGAGTACGGAGGCTCGAAAAGGACTGAAAGTCGTTCGGGAGAATAATTGATACCATTATATCTAGCTGTTGGAAAATAGGCACTATGGTGCTATAGTGTAGTGGTTATCACTCGGGATTTTGACTCGCTCGGGATAAGTTCCCGAAACCCAGGTTCGAACCCTGGTAGCACCTTCGTTTTTGACTAAGACCCAAAAGTCGCTCTGCATCCGAATACGAGCCCGTCGCTCGCGCGGCAGCGTGAGGCAGCTTGGCAAAGTTTAGGTCTATATTCTCTGGCAAGTTGTTGCTACGCGTCGGGTCCTAGCAGGAGTACATTCTAAGCATGGTAGCCTGTGGGACGGCCGGAAGCGGCTGCGAAAGGTGGCTAATACCTTTCTTTCTTTCTTCCTACTACCATTCACCGCGCTCCTAGGCAGGAACGCTGCGATGCATCCTCGTTACCGTCCTCGTTATCGCTCAATGTCGGCTGGTGCAGCCGTAACGATACGGCCGTATATCTCAAGTCAATGTAATGTATTCATGCCAACTTTTCGACATCAGCATCCATAGCGGTTGGCCCGTGGGTCTACTCATAGCTCCAGGGTGCGGACGTGACTCACTCAAGGTGTCTGTTCGTGTTGATCTTTGCTTCTTGATCCATGAGACTTGACTGGGTCAACATCATCACCGATCCGTTCGGCGGAGGTACCTTGACATTCGCCCAGCTCCCACTGGGTTTGACTGGCTGATTCCCTCTTCGAAGATAGACGTCATCATCTCAGCTACTACCACACTTCGTTGATACATTTTCAGATCGCAGAGTCCTGACGACAGTATCTCGCTTACATACGTCTACGGATGGTCATACGTACCGCTCGTGAAGACGGCTGGCAGTACCGGCGCATAGTAAGCACCGAGCGCCTCATAGAACCAGAAGCTCGATTCATTTCATGGATGCGACATCATCGCTCGATTGCAGGACGTGGGTGCCATTGGTCTGATATCGCTGCGGGGACACTGCTCAATGTGACTGGCTTACCGCGCGCTCTCTTTGCTGCAGGGATCTCATCGGCCGATCAGTGTTGGTGTACGACCACGGCGCAGCTATTTCGCAGCACCTATTTGCCTCACACTGTCACATTACGCGGACGGTTCCGAATAGTCAACGTGCTGAAGACGCGGCCTGGTCATACAAGAGCCGCCATAGCGCATCGTACAGCGGTGTTACCTCTCGATCTGCCTGGTATCGGGCCTCCTTGACAGATACAGGCCAGACGCGCGTGCGGATGCGGTGCGTGATTCGTCATGTACCTGAACAGATTGTCTCCCTGTGCTCTCAAAGTCAAGCTGCGTATGTCAACTTGGTCATTCTATCGGGGCCGTTCTGACATCTTCGCCCAGAGGGCCTGCAAGAATAGCAAGTCAGGGCGCTCCCAACACTGTGCTCACATGGAGGAAGTCCAGGGTATTCTACAAAGCTGTTCAATCATGATAACATTGACGCGCAGCCGCCAGATTCCTCGTAATACCACCCTGTATCAGCGTTACATACCACTTCGCTCTTGTCAAGGTCTATCATGCCCGTGGCTATGTCATGCAAGGTGCGGCTCAAATACCCCGAACGTGAGCGACATGCGCCACTATGTTCTCCGTAGCGCACAAGCCGTTGTACCGACGCCTGAGGGTTTAATCTTTGACCGATTAGGAGGTGGCCATCAACAGCACCCATGTGGTGAACGAAGATGAGAAGCAGGCCTACACGATCTGCAGCTAATCTTCTTCCTACCATGCAATCCGTCTCACCAGGAAGGCCAGATGGGCCCATTTCCGGTGTCTCCTCTCGGTCGGAGCAATTCCCTTCGCAGTTGGCACCTCCTCTGGGTTGACCTGGAGCCACTGATCATCACCCTAGGCAATGACGCATTCACAATCCCCACCCAAAGATGAGAAGCAGTCTCTCTTCTATAGCTGTCTTCGCAAACAACGGGGGCTAACCAACTTTGCGCAGTATCTCATATACGGTGTCAGACGAGAAGCACGAATACAAGTACAACACTCCGGTGTGGTGAGCAAGCTCACGAGTCTGCTTCTCTTACGTCTGTGGCTTAACCTCAACAGCTTCCTAGATGAACGTCGCAGGCGCATCTTCGCCGTCGACGATGTGGAACCAGGGCGGTTCAATCACTGTGACAGAAGGCGACAGACAGGAGAGAAGGTGCACCCATTCTTCGCTACGACACGGCCTTCTCTGCCAGATTACCACGCAGTATTGGCCTCGAGTCCGCCCTGCCAGCTCCAAACGGCCCGTTCCCGGAAAGGTGTCGGTGCTCTCCTTTGAGCCAGCGTCTTCCGACACGGTGTGGCACCGCGGCGCACATTCAGGCTTGATGGTGGCCGATGGTCAAGCATAAGACCTCACATGTCTCCCTGCGGACTGTCAGAGCGCAGGCCTGCTCAGGGTCGGCGGCGGTCAGGGATAAGCAGCCAGTGGTCGGCTGCTCGGCGTACTGCGGGGGCACTGGGATGTGCGACGCCCCTGCCGCGGCGGAACCACAGTTGCCGTCGGCGGAGGCGGTCGTCAATGCGGCTGCCGTTGGGCGCGCGGCGTGCGCGGTCGAGGGGGCCTCCCCGACGATGCCGTATGCAGTACCGCGGGGAGGGACGTTGTGCGCCGCTGCGTCGGATGGCGGTGCTGCGAGTAAGCGTGATTGCCTTGGGCCGGCCTCCTCAGGCCACGGCCGGATGGAGAAGGGCGGGTTGAGAACCTGCTATGACTGATGGCCTGTCTTTACTAATAAGCTTGCATGCTGTGCGCACTGTTCCCGGCGTGTCAAGGCTGATGTCGACCTTGACGGGCGAACGGACAAGCGCGTGGCTCGGAAGCACCTTGCCAGCGCCGTGGGACATACTATTCAGGGGTCATGCACAGAGGGACAACGCCTGCCAATTCGGTTGAGGGGCATCTTTGAGAAGTCAACAGGTTCGTTGATTCACGATCGACGGCGGTGGTGGGAGACCATTGTGGTAAGAACATGTCGTGTGGCAGCGGCGAACCTCTCCTGCGTGCAAGAACAGCGTCACCGAGACCCCCAGAACCAGTGAGTGTACATTCTATAGGGGTGATGTGGCCGACCAGTCGGCATACTATTCGCATGATCAATAAATATGCCACTTCCGCCACGTATTCGGGTACCGTTGACTTGTTGGTTCACTCAAATATGGGAAAGAGCTATCGGTCGTGTCGGGGATGTCGTGCGCAACCAACACACAAGTGGACATGGGTCGATGGCGGCTTGATTGTGGAGCAGCGAGATGCATGACAAGAAGTTTGTTCACCATAGAGAAGCCAGACATTACAGAATATATCCTGACTATTATGGTGTAGTTATCGAGCAGGGTATGACCGGCTTATCTGCGATTCCAGAATTGGGGACGTCGTACAGGACGTGATCATGTTCAGCGGCCTTGTCCGCCGCAACCCGGGCAGAATCCAGGCATTTGCGGAGCTAGCGGTGACAGACGGTAAGTTACGGCGCCAGCGGACGAGCGGCCGTTTACATACAATACTGTTGCGGGTGTTGACGGCTGAGATCCCAAAGGCGATCGTTAGCCGAGCCGCGGAGGCCAGAAAGCCACGCCGGACTCACTATTGCTTGCATGTCTGCTTGCAAGATGCTCCTTGACAATTCTTCGGGTGTTGGGGACTGAATCTGCAGCGCGGGTTGTCGCAATGTACCTACGGAAACAAACGGTCATTGCGCGAACCGTTGTGCATAGCTTTAGAGATGTACCTCCTGGTCGGGCTGCAAGGAGTAAGGAGATGAGACTCGGTTTACCGGGTAGCAACCCTTGACGTACCATGGGGTATACATGACCACATGCGTAGACGTAGCAGATTCTGCGGCGTGGTTAGTAGCGAGTGTTGAGTGTGGGGACCAGTACGTACTGGCGAAGGTAGCACATCGTGTAGGAGCAGTGTAGGACTGTAGGCGAACCTGCCGTGGATGCTCGAGAGGACAAGTGAGTTCGGTCCCATCAAGTCATGGTATACCAGGTTTTATATTGCACAGAGAGCGGTACTACCTCACCAGGATGGTGTAACGAGCATGTCGCAGCGCTCCGGACGCCGTAGATGTCAGTTACCTTCCACTCGGATACCAGAGGTCGGGCGCAGACATATTTTAGCGCAGTTAAATACGCCAATTACCGAACCTAAGATAGGGGCAGTACGAGTGTGTGAGGTCCATTGACAAGACTGTCTTGCAGCGAACTCGAACAGAGCTGTCACATCACCGCGACCAGAGTTCGAACGCGCAGGCCGCGCTGGGAGGTTGATGCCTAGCCCGGAGCACATGGCTTGAATCAGACACTGTCACGCAGTGGGCATGTATGGTTCTCCGGTGCGCCGACGGCGGAACAGTGAGTATGCAAGGGATTGGCCGGGCAGAGATGTCTGCCGGCAAATCGACAGGATGCTGAGGTGCAGACTCGGAGAGACCTAGGGCGTCGGACCCGGCGCCATAGCCATGCTGTCCTTGCCGTTCTCGAGGAGAGTTTCAGGGGCAATATCGGGCTCAACCCCCACGCAGGACGAAAGAGATGGTAGGGCTCACGAAAGGCGGAGCATCGGAAGTAGCATCGCAGCGAGAGTGAGCGGGACCCCGGCCACGTGGGCAAAAGCTGTGCACGGGCGCGCAAAACCTATCAGTTTCCAGCCCTCGTCTGACCGTCGTCGTGAAACATCTACTTCGGCCATAGCGAGTAGAGGACCACCCTCGAGACCGCTCGACAATTGCGGATACGGGATAGGGTTGGCTATACCCATGGGGAAGCAACACAAAACCAAGGTTTACGTCGAGAGTAAGGCAAGTTCACATTCTCCCAATGCTTGACGAGCCAAAGTAGTGGCGAATACTGTGTACTCTTGCAATCGTCAGGGGCAGTGAACTGCGGAGGCCCCAGGACAGGCTGTTGAGCTCCGAAAAGCTTTCTGCAGTCTGTTCCGGCCATGTAGGATGGCCTACGAGCACTCAGCAACCAGAATGGGTTCAAGCCTGGCTTGTTTCTCCAGTACACCCGGTCGAGGTCTCATCTACCACCCGAGTCGATTCATACCGTGTGTACTGATTGGCCAAATAATAGACGGGCTCGTGGGGTATGCCCTTGGGACACTTTGCGCGGGCGGCACCATC